TCTAAACCTATAAGTGATGTTGTTATGAGCTTAGATCAATAAATGAAATCATAGCGCAACCCAAACTTGAAAAAGTAAAAGAACTGTATCATGAGAAATGAAGTTTATCCTTAGATGAAAAAGAAGAAAAGTTGTGTAGAAGTTTGCTACACAAGGGATATCCAAAACATTTTCGATTTGGATTGGTATTCTAAATTGGCATCGATCTATAAAATCAAACTAAAATATGTAGTTTTGTTTGAACCCTCAAACCGGTGCTCTAAGGCTTTGTTGTTACTCAAATTTCTAAAACCAAAATCTTTGATTTCCACAAAATTCATCAATAAAGTAACTAAATTTAAAAAAAAGTAAAAAGCAGAAAATTACGTTGTTGATTAGACTCGAACTCTTGACCTTGATAGCAAAGAATAAAAACTTACCAATGTATTAGTATTGTATTTTATGTTTGGGTTTTCCTAATATTTTATTAATAAAATAATCAATTTATTATAATATGTTATATATTTATATGAAACATATTTTTTAAATATAATACGTATATGTACGTGTGTATTGTTTATTTAAATGGAATATATATAATCAAGGTTAAACCCCTATTTTGGTTCCTGAACTATTGTACGGACCCCCGATTTGATCCCTGAACTAAAGAAATCCCTAATTTGGTCCTTGACCTATTGTACAAAGGTTAAATGCTAATTTTGGTCCCTCAACTTTGTAGGTTTGCACTTTTTTGGTTCCTCAACAATTTTTTGCGCTTTTTTGATCCCTCAACTCTAAGAAAATGCACAACATTGGTCATTTTGTCAAATTGAGCCATTAACTCCGTCCATGTGGTATTTTTTATTTTTTTTATGACATGAAAAAGACAACTAAAAAGATGATGATATGGACAAAACATTATTCATTAAATTAAAATAGTTTTAAAATGACAATTTTACCCTTACTCCATCTTCTACCTTTGGTCTCTTCTTTGTTTCTAGCTTGCCTTTCTCCATTCTTCATTGCACTCTTTCTATTCCTCCTTCTTTTTCACCTTTCTCCATTCTCCACTGCTCTCTTTCTCTTCCTCCTTCTTCTTCGCCTTTCTCTTTTACTCTTTACCCAAATCTAGGTTCCACGGAACCCAACAACCTAGGTTTGTTTGAACCCAGAACACTGGGTTCACTTGAACTCAACAATCTAGGTTTGTTTAAACCCAGATCCTGGTTCCGTGGAACCCAGTGGTCTAGGTTTGTTTGAACCTAGATTTGGGTTTTGTAGAACCCAGCAATTTGGGTTCGTTTGAACCCAGTTCTAGGTTCCATGGAACCCAGCAACATGGGTTCAAGGAACTCGAATTTCTGGGTTTTCAAACCCATGTTTATAGATTTTTTTTTTCTTTGTTTGATGGATTTTTGTTTCAAATATTGTGATTGTGGGATGGCAATTTAGTATTATGAATGCTTCAAAATTTTGTTTATATGTTTTGGTTTGGCTATTTCTCTTGTGAGTATGTGATCATTAAGCTGGATTGAAGTAGTATGAATTTTCAAGGTTTCGATTTGGTTTTGTTGCAAGTTAATTATCAGTGTAGAAAAAGAGAGAAATTTATTAAATCCTGGTTTTGGTTTTGTTGTTAGATTTCATTTTGATTTTGTACAATCAAAAAGATTATGCTAGTTTAGTACAAGTTTAATTATAATTAATAGCTTTAATTATTTAAATTAATGAGTGTTTAATCTTAATAGGTTAAATGCTAAATTTGATCCCTCAACTTTAGTGAGTTGCACATTTTTGGTCCCTCAACATTTTTTTGCACTTTTTTGATCCCTCAACTATAAGAAATGCACTCCGTTAGTCCTTCTGTCAATTTAGACCGTTAACTACGACACGTGGCATTTTTTATAATTTTTTTGATGACATGGCAGAAACAATTTAAAAAAACGTTGATTTGGAATTTTTTTTAAGACATGTCATCGCCAACTCATAAATTGATTTTACCTTAATAAAAAAATAAAAAATTACAAATTTACCCATCTCCCTTTCTTGATCCATCTTCTTCCCCTCTTTCGATCATCTTCTTCCTTTCTTTTTTTTCTTTTTCTTTCTTCCTCTTCTTCCTCTTCTTCCTCTTCTTCCTCTTCCTCTGTGTCTGCTGGGTTCGGTGAACCCAGTTGCTCGGTTCCACCAAACCTAGCTGATTTGGGTTCGGTAGCAACTGGGTTCCACCGAACCCAGCTCCATTTTTTTTTTTGTTATATGTTTATTTGCAAAGATTATCCAAGTTGCAAGTTGTGAGGGATTTTTGGATCTTTTTCTTCATATTTTTTAAGTATTGTCTAAATGATTTCAATGTTCAAAATGGAAAGAACAAAAGCAGTTGGGCAAAGGTGGGTTTCCATTTGTTTGGCTAGAAAATGGTATGGTTTGGGTGTTTGGATGCTAAGAAAATGCTTTAAATTTATTTGGTTGCCGACATTGGTTAACGACAATCTATAATGTCTGTTAAAGAAAGAAAATTTGAGGAAAACATTGTGATTTAATTATAAATTAATTTAGAATTTTAATTAATATAAATAATTACAGTT